TTGTTGTCAATGGCTGGTAGATCATTAATATACACTAGAAACAGTATCGGACCCAGCACTGACCCCTGCGGGACACCGATGTTCATTACTCGTTCCGATGAGTCCACCCCAGAGATTCTCACTACCTGCACTCTGCCTGTAAGATAGGATTGAATTAAGTTGATACTTTCTGGGCAGAAGTTATAGTTTTTAAATTTTTGCAAGAGGATGCTGTGGTCGACACAGTCAAAGGCCTTGCTAAGGTCACATAGCAAGACTGAGGTGAACTCAAGATTATGAAATGAATCTATTATATATGAGACCAGGTCCAGGATGGCCAGCACTGTATTCTTGCCTTCCCTAAAGCCAAATTGGCTTTTCGAAAAGTAGTTATTATTTTCGAAGAAATCAACCACTTGTAGAGACATACATCTTTCAACTACCTTTGAAATTATTGGCAGTAGTGAAATTGGTCTATAGTTTTCAGGTAGTTGAGAGTTACCTTTTTTAAAAATGGGGGTTACAACAGCTCTTTTAAGAACTTGAGGGAATCAGTGGCGGCTCTTCCTTAGGTTTGCAGGTTTGCGCAACCCCCAAAACAAAACTTGAAAAATATAAAACAAAAATACTAGAACTAAGTAAATTTTAGTACCTAATTATATTTAAAAAATAAATTATACCAAAATTTGGGACCTACATAATACGCAGTCGATTAATAAAATAATTTGACCAACTTCGCCAAAATATCAATAACTGACAGCCCGCCGGCCGGCGACTTCGAGTCGCGGGATTGCAGCTCCAAAGCAAACCGATCTATTATATGACGGCGCACATTTGGTGGCCTGTCTTTGCGTGGATTCGAAATCCGCTCCATAAGCTCCAGCAGGTTGCAAGCTAAGTGCAAACTTTGTTTATTTTTTTTGCTCGCAGCGCAGATTAGGTTTGTTTTGTGAAATTTTGTCGTGTGGGGGGTGAAAAAAAAAATGAATTCTGTTCAAAATTTAATTGCCGAGACATTCTGTGGTCGTTCATCAACCGATAAGGCTGAAATAAAAAGACTTGGAAGGCCTACTCCAAATTTAAAAATTGAACAAACTGTAACTAGCAAAAAAAGGACTTTCACCAGGACATTTATTCTGGACCTTCACGAAAAACATGCATGATTGTACAATTGAAATTGCAACCCCCACATTTTTAATATACGAGCCGCCACTGGAGGGAATGTATTTTCTTGAAAGCATAAGTTTATCAGTTTAGTAAGAGGGCTTATTATAATATTTTTTACAGATTTAATTAGTTTTACATTCAGTCCATAAAGGTCACGGCTATTTTTATTTTTCAAGTTACTGATGACGTCTCTAACTTGGTTGAAAGTTACTGGAGAAAAAGAAAAGTTATTTCCTGTGGTGGTCAACTTCATATCAGGAAGACGTAAGTTGATTGGTGGAATATCTTTTACTAGATTATTTGCAATTTCTGCAAAATACTGATTAAAGTTATCTGGAGAGATTGTATGATTTTCAGAACTTTTCTTATTTTTTGTAATACCCCGTTTGCAATTTATAATCTCCCAGACAGCACGTGACGGATTACCAGATGTCTGAATGTAATTCTTGTTAGATTGAAGCTTTGCTATCCGTATTTCGGCTTTGTATCTTCTCCTAAGTTCTATATACATTTGAGAAATTTCTTCACTTTGATATTGTATACTGAGGTCATGCAAAAAACACAACTGTTCACGCATTGTTTTCAATTCCTCACTAAACCAATTTATTTTTTGTGGGTTATTTGATTTAGCTTTATAGACTTTTTCTGGAAAAGAGTCCAAGTAAGCTTTCTCAAGTATATTCATGAAATCAGCGAATTTATCATCAACATTCATATTAGTCCCATTTATAAAATCCCAATCTGCCTCATTTATTTTATTGTGGAACTGAAACTTACCCCTTTGTGTTATAGGTCTAGACATTGTTATGTTTTCTATGTAAGGCTGTCTCTTCGTTTCTGCTATGAAATCAACCCGCTGACCTCGGTGATCAGAAAAACCCAGGTCAAAAACCTCAGCCAATCTAACCTCTGTATCTTGATCTAGAAAAATATTGTCAAGACAGTTTTCACCTCTTGTTGCTTCAAAAACTGTTTGTTTCATGTTGAAACTCTCCAGTACATTTCGCATTTGTAGGTAGTTGGTATGTTCACTGCCAAGTGCTATGTTGAAGTCGCCTGCTAAAACAGTTCGCCTGTTCGTGCCCAAGCGAGATAACATCCCATCCAAGGATGTCAAAAAGGTGTCACAATTACCTGATGGACAGCGATAAACAGTTAAAAAATTTAAATTAAAATATGTCAAACGAATACAACAACATTCTAAACATTTTTCTACATTAAAATCTGAACAAATACTTAACACACTAAAATCAATATTTTTTTTTATAAAGATGGCAGTTCCACCACCAGTGGAGTTTTGTCTTGCCGAATAGTCAGCTAGTCTATAATCTGGAATTTCCAATGTTTCAATTTCTGTACCAGTCATCCAGTGCTCTGTCAGACAGACAACATCAAAGTTTTTGTCTACTAGAAAAGCTTCCAGCTCATCAGTTTTGTTTCGTAATGACCTTACATTTGCGTGCATTACGCTTATAATTTTCTGAGTGTCATCTTTCGACTCTGAAGGTTTATAAAATGGTTTATGATGACTCCGTTGGACCACAGTGTCGGGGTCATGTATTTATCTCGGCTGTTGTGTGGTACAGCCAATTTGAATGAAGAACGGTATTTGCTCTTCTTTGTGTGGATTTTTTCACATGAACATCCCTTGTCCAGTTCATTTTGTTTTAGATATTCCATAATTTCGTTACTTTTCACCTCTGGTGCAAAGCCTGAGATAAAAAGAAAAGACATTCTTTGTGCTATCTTCAGGAAAGGTGCATTTTCATTGTTACCTTTCAGTGGTTTCGGTCTTTCGAATTTTGTTGTTTTGGGTGCATCAGTGATTTTCACATCATCCCTCTGGGGCGACGGTTTCTGTTTAAAGCCTCTCCGTTTCTGAGTTTGCCATAATTCTTTGTTTTCTGGGATTTGGTTTTGAGTGTTTACAAAATTTATCGCTGAGTCACGCTGTTTCGGGCTGTCGATGTCATTGGTGAGGTCAGCCAGCACCAGCTGTTCTATATGTTGGTTTTCAGAATTTACGATTTCGTCGTTTGAAACCGCAATTTTTGAAGTTCGGGTGGCGCCATCTAACGGTATTTCTTCCTGTTTCTGCACTAGCGGGTCACCGCCACGGTTACCAACAACATCCGTGGCAGCACCGGGGCCCGAGACCCCCCATGGCCAGAGAAAACATCGATGTACGTTCCATGGAACAGGAGAAAGAGAAGGAGATAGGCGCTAACATCGAAAGATAACATTTAAAAAAAAAATGAATGATAGAGCGATAGACGAGGAAGAATGGAGAGACCGTGAAAAATGGCGATCGAAATGCGGGATGCGGCAGAAGGCTGTAAGTGTGTTGAATTTTTATTCGAGAACAGTAAAGTTTAAAATTTAGAATAAAAATAAAAAATAGTTATTTTTTATACAAGACGATAAAATGGTAGTTTATCGTTGACCGGAAAAGTTGATTCACGCGCGGAATGCCGAGTGAATTAATTCCGGGAGACGATAATAGCATTTTATCGTCGTGTGTGAAACGAAGTTTTTTTCCATAGCCTAATTATGGACGCCAGTAGTATCAAAAATATTTAGAAATTATTTGAGTCGAACACTTTTGACAAACTTTGACAAATAAATAAAAAACAAAATATGTATATATTTTTGACAAAATAAACGTCTTTATCTATCCTTGCTGTTAAAGTATCATTTAATCTACCCTTGCGGTTGAAGTACTACTTTATCTATCTACTATTTTTAGTAGATTAAAGGCTACTTCACCAGTAGCTATGGAAAAAATTAAATTTTGCACACATTAAATACATTTTACCGAGTTATCACATTAATTTGAACTTGCTTATCTATTTTGTAACCTAATTAATCCTCATCTAATTTTCGAATGAAACCGAACAACAAATAGGGGAGAAATTTTTACGTTTTTGAGCCGCTGGTCAATTGTTCGATTCCACAAACAGACGCTGGATGACTTTTTCAAATTTCAGTATGGTGTCAGAAATTTTAGGAGACAGGTAAAGGCAATTACCTACTTTTTAAGCACTGGTGAAAAAGTACAGGTAATTAGTTCTTTGGCACAGGTGAAGCAAGGACAGGTGAAGATGCCATCGAGTGTCCCAATACCGCCTGTCCTCTTCTACTATCATATAGAGGAAAATGCAATTAAATACTATTTTTTACCATTCAAGAAGGTTTGCCTTGATATTTTAATAGAAAACGCCAAAAGAAAACACAAATTTGGTACGAATTTAGAATATTTTCTAGTTTCAAATGCAAATTTAAACCAAAAATAAGTTTGTGAATGGAACTGTGTAATCATTTGCTTTAATTCAGTTTCTTTTATTGTTAACGTTATGGTTATTCATCAAAACACTTTCTCTGATAACCTTTTGTTGCAATGTATGTATATTATCAAAATCGTCAACGTCATAAATAAAGAACAAATATTTAAATGATATTTAATCAGATAAAATATTTCAAATTTCAATGTATTTTTGTCAACATTATAATATTATATTCAAAAATAAAACCCAATAAAAATACGTAATTGGAAATTTAAAGGGATAATAGGCAATGGGTGATTAAATTTTGAATATAAAATGTAGATGAATTTACAGATATTTCAATATCGTGGCGATAAAACTATCAGATAATAATTCAAGTGAAATAGGTTTGTTCAGACTTGGTTCAGAATCAGTTCTGATTTGAACGCTTGCGCATTTGTTAATATGCTCGGTATGAACCAATGCCCAAGCGCACTTCAATTCAGAACTGATTCTGAACCGAGTTTGAACAAACCTAATAGCTTTAATTAATAATGTGTGTAAGAGTACATATATTAAAAAGACACTTACCGCAAAAGCATCATTATCAACGCTACCAGTAGCAAATCCTTGGTAAGCCATATCAAAGAAGGGGAATAAATTTTTCTTCTTAATAAGATTTGATAACTCAGCCCATTGTTCCTTGGTAGGATCCACACCAGTAGGATTGTGGGCACACGCGTGAAGTAAAATAATGGATTTTTCAGGAATTTTCTAAACAGAAAATTTTTAAATAAATAAATATTGCTTAAAATAAAAAATTACCGAAATGTCATCTAAAGCTCCAGCAAAGTCCAATCCACAAGTTTTTGGGTCGTAATACCTGTAAGACTTAACATCCATGCCTGCATGTTTGAAAATAGGCGTATGGTTGCCCCATGAAGGCGCAGGCAAATAAACCACTTTATTATAAGGGAAAAAGTTGCTCAAAAAAGCAGCTCCAACTCTCAATGAACCCGTTCCAGAAACCCCTTGTATTGTTGCATTCAAGCTATTCTGTACAACTTCGCTGCCTTCGCCTAAAGCCAGTTCGATGCTCTTTTTGCAAAACTCTGCCATTCCGCCAATAGGAGCGTACTCGTGGTCCAAATTTTTAGCTCTCAATTTATCCTCGGCTTTACGCACACAGGGAAGTACGTAAGGTTTGCCGTCATCATCTCTGTAAGCTCCTACGCCCAAATTGATTTTCTTCGGATTGGTGTCACGTTTGTAGGCTTCGGTTACACCCAGGATTACGTCGGGCGGGCCCATTTGAACACCGGACCACCAGGAACTAAATTGAATGATATATTTAAAGAATTAGTTATTTATCACTCATAAAATATCAAATATTGAAATAAAATTTACAATCAGTGATATTTTCTAAAAAAAATTAATAGTATATTACATACCAAATGGGGAAGTGTTTCATCACTGTTGACACATTTATATAGTCAATCGGGACGAGATTGACTATTAATCTCGAGACAATGAAACACTTTCCTACTTGGTATGTAATATACTAGTATTAGCCCTGGATAATTCAAATTCGATCATATTGTCATATAAAGACCTCTGTACTTCTGAAAACGTATGTCTTTTTACCCTTTTAAAGGAATGAAGATAGACAACGAACACCTTAACAGAAACTTATGATTCAGGATTGATAATGTTTTACAATTTCTGTAATCATTTTGACTTTTATTTTTTGGTTTTCGATTATTTACGTATTGTGAGTTTGTTGTTGTGCAACTGGTGTTCCAGTCCACAAATTTCGCAGCCTTTTGTAGAATTTCTTTTTTTTTAGCACAGTTTGATGTTCCTTAATATATTTGAGCCCTGCACTTTTGGGCGGAACGTTGGCAAATACCTAACAGGCCTTTTATTTCTTGTCTTAACTAACGAAACACCCCCTTCATTGGATACTGACAGGACAAGATACTCATCAGTTAAAGCAAGAAAATACATACTATTAAGTAAATCTGAAATATAATATCCTCATTGCCAGTTATAAATTGACTTTTGCATTGTACAAAAATAAAAAAAATCTATATTGTCAAAAATAAAAGACACTTTTTAATTTTCCTGTTTCTTCATTAGAAGCCGACTTTTTGATGCCAAAATTGCATTAAAAGCTTCATTTTTGTAATATAAATACCTATACATATTATTGCTATTGTATCGATATTAGGCAAGTTTTTCCCATAATAACAAGCCTGAAAACTTTTGTCTATCTTGCATATTTAAAATCCTTGGAATTTAAAAATAATAAATCAGCAGATAGCAATTATGAATTGTGTGGCATCTTTGTTGATATTTTATCGCAATTTTCTATAGATTGGGAAACCACTAATTATAATAATATGTATAAATCTTATTAGAAATATTGATATATAAAAATATTTCTTGAGGCTAATTTAACCAAAGAATAACGAGCAGAGGTGAATATTTTGAAAAATGAACTCAAGGAGAGACAGCGAAATGGTGAACACGATCTCATTCTCAATATGTAAATGGAGTACCTAAATTAATCACAAAAAACTAAAAAGGCTTCCCAAGATAAGACCAGAAAGCACCTCTTTGCTGATATATTTCCAAAATGTCAGAGGCCTACGTACAAAACTCCAACTTTTTTATGGAAATACCTCTTATTGCCAATATGATGTTTTAGTCTTTAATGAAACCTGGTTAACTAGCGATATTAATGATGCTGAACTACAAATGTTTGACTACAACATATATCGAAAGGACAGATCATCAGATACAAGTACTTTTTCTAGAGGAGGTGGGGTACTGATAGCTGTCCGTAAAAACATAACCAGCCCAGTTTTATCAGCTACCATAAATATTGAGCAATTTTTTGTTAAAGTCCAAAGTGGTAACAACAATTTTATCTTTGCAACAGCTTATTTCTTACCCCGAAGCAGACCAGAAAAGTACGTGAAGTTTAGCGAGTGTTGAGAATCTATCCGAAAATATCCAGAACACAAACTTTGTATCCTGGGAGATTTTAATCTTCTGTACTTGTCAGTGATGGATTGTCTTCAGTTGCTGCTCCTATGGCGGCAGTTCCACCAAACGAAGTTGAATCCATACAATTTCTTTCATTTTTATGTTCATACCATGGCCTTTATCAACTCAACACAGTTAAAAATGTTAACAACAACTTACTTAATCTGGTTTTTATGCAGGATGGTGACACTGAGATATTTACAGTAGAGAACGCCTTACTTTCGGAAGATATCCACCACTGTCTTTTGAGGTCGAATATGAATCAAATTGTTTTAACAACTCGGGATTGACTGGGGATAGCTTTTATAGGGATTTTAAGTCAATTAATGTTAAAGAAGTATCAAGTTTCCTTTCCCTGTTCATGTTTAACTGGGACGATTTAGTCAAGAACAAATCTCTTGAGGATATGTTTAATATTTTTTACGACATTTTCTACCTAACAATTGATATTTTTGTTCCTTTGAAAAAGTATTCAGCAATCAAGTTTCCTATTTGGTTTTCTCCAGAACTGAAACAAACGATAATTGAAAAAAAGAAATAGCATTAAAAAATACCGCACAAGTAGATCACTAGATGATTATGATGAGTTTTCTTTATTACGGGCTCACTGTAAACATCTAAAAAAAGAATGTTATCAAAGTTACGTTGCTTTAACTGAATCGCCTCTTAGAGATAATGTTAAAAATTTCTGGAAATTTGTCAACAGCAGAAAAGCTAAAAATAATATACCTTCTGTAATGCGCTATGATGATGTTACTAGTTCTTCTGGAGTTGGGATTGTCAATTTGTTTGCTGAATACTTTTCCAAAACTTATAGTGATAAAGGTTGTGTATTGCAGGACATTCTGCCTTCTGGGCACATCAATCTGTCAGAATATAACATACCTATCTCGTATATCTATGAAAAACTATCCAAATTGGATATTAACAAGGGACCAGGACCTGATGGTCTCCCACCATCACTTATCAAACACTGTAGCTTCTTGTTCTCCATATCTTTAACCTCTATTTAAAGACCGGAACATTCCCAGCCTATTGGAAAACAAGCTTTATTACTCCCATATTGAAGTCTCGAGATAGTTTACAGGTCAATAACTTTCGGCCCATCAGTATACTAAGTTGTATCCCTAAGGTATTTGAGAGTCTTGTTTGTGATTACGTGTCTGCTGGTTTAAAAGGCTGTTTTATCGATCAGCAATTTGGATTCATTTCTCATCGCTCCACCGAACTTAATCTTTTAACATTTACTGACTATCTCTTGGAATCCTTGGAGGGGGGTTATCAAGTTCATGCTGTGTACACTGATTTTGCAAAGGCGTTCGATTAGGTGATCCACCCGGTTATCCATAGAGTTTCAATTAATAAGTTGCAGAGTTTGGGAATTCAGGGTGTCCTAGAATGGGTTTCCTCTTACCTATTTGAAAGAATACAGATAGTGCATATTCAGGGCTTCCAATCAATAGAAATTAAAGTACCATCGGGTGTACCCCAGGGTTCACACCTGGGCCCTCTTCTTTTTAATTTATATGTGAATAATATTGCATGGCCAAGCCAAATCTTTCTTAAAATCAATGGTCAAATTTTTAAATTCATCAATCACATATTATATTTGCCTTTCAGATATTATTGGCGTAGCATTAGCCTTGGAAATTTGGCAGGTTGACCCTCGTATGATAATGACAGTAAGTATATGTCAAATTCCAGACAGTTTTAAGTGTATTTTACATAATTTCGTAAGTGTCGCGGTATTAAAATTCTCTGGCGTATCTGGCCAATCAAATTTGACACATTTTTCAATGCATTTTCCAATAGTGATAAATAGTATCTAACTACACTCACCGACAGAAAATTCGGGACAATCAAAATTTAGATCAAATTTGATGTAGGATAACTTTTTCTTCCATAGTCCGATTTCATTTTTTTTTTCCATAATGTAGATAATTGTTTCGGTTTTAATTAATTTTATTCAATTTTCAAAAATACAGTTTACATGTTGGAATATACCAGGAAAATAAAAAAGTATATTTTTTCTCTTAACTTTGTAACACTCTGTAGAGTAATTTTGCGGAGTAAGCTACACTGGATATGCTTTTCTGGAGAGTTTGATCCATTTTCAACATTTTGCTGTTTTATCGGTCTTGGTATCTTTATCGGTTTGGGAGATATGAATTTTTGAAATAAACATTACACTTTTTGATCAAGTTTAAATTTTTGAAATAAACCTTCATTTTTTGATCGTCTATTTTTAATTGAAGCATGGAACTAGGGGTTTTAAAAGTTTGTACCTCGTGTTACCTCCTCTTGCTCTTATAACAGCTTCTAAACGTCGATTCATTCCTCTAATCCGGTTTTGGATATCCTGTTGTGGAATAGCAAACCATTCTTCTTCCAAAGCATTTCGGAGCTGTTGGAGAGTGAACAACTGTCCTCGGCGTTTCCTAATTCGTCTACCTAACATGTCCCATACATGTTCTATGGGATTAATGTCAGGACTACGAGCGGGCCAGCGCATAACGTTTATTCCAACCTCTTCTAAATATTGGGCCACTATTCTGTTCTGGCAGTACCTATGTGGACGGGCATTGTCATGCATGAAAATGAATTCGTTGCCGATAAATTGTGCAAAAACAACAACATGTTCTCCCAGAATTTCGTCAATGTATCTTCGGTCAATAAAAACAAGTTCTGTTCGAGTGTCAAACGAAAAACCGCCCCATACCATTATCGATCCACCATCAAAGCTAACCCTTTCGCTGAAAGTACATTGGGCGAATCTCTCCCATTATCGTCTCCATACTCTTTCTCGTCCATCAGGTGACCTCAGGCAAAATCGAGACTCGTCTGAAAATAGAACTTGCCTCCACTCTTGAAGGTTCCAGTTAATGTGTGGCAGATATGCTAGGTGCTACAAAATCTAGCGTGGGAAGCGCCGTAGCAAGATATTGTGAGACTGGAAATTACAGTAGAAGACCTGGATCTGGAAGAAATCGCTTCATTAGACTCTCGGCTTTAAGAGATCGGCATACCAGTGCAGTAGTGATAAGAAATGACCTCGACAGAGTTCGTCAAGTTGCTGTCAATGAAATAACAGTGAGAAGACTTAATTAAAGGCAATTTACGGGCCAGAAGACCGACAACTGGATCAGAACTCCAAAGACAGCATCGAGTTAATAGACTTCTTTTTTCCCAAGAACACATTAACTGGAAGCTTCAAGAGTGGAGGCAAGTTTTATTTTCAGACGAGTCCTGAGGTCTCCTGATGGACGAGAAAGAGTATGGAGATGACAAGGGGAGAGATTTGCCCAATGTACTTTTAGCGAAAGGGTTAGCTTTGGTGGTGGATCGATAATGGTATGGGGCGGTTTTTCGTTTGACGCTCGAACAGAACTTGTTTTTATTGACCGAGGAAATTTACTTGCCCATGTTGTTGTTTTTGCACAATTTATCAGCAACGAATTCGTTTTGATGCATGCCAATGCCCGACCACATACTGCCAGAATAGTGGCCCAATATTTAGAAGAGGTTAGAATGAACGTTATGCGCAGGCCCGCTCGTAGTCCTGACATTAATCCTATACATAGAACATGTATGGGATGAGACATGTTAGGTAGACGAATTAGGAGCAGACCCAAGCAGCTCAGCGGTTGTGTTTTCGCTTTGCATGCAGTGGGTCTCGGGTTCGAATCCCGGCTAGGTGCATGGATGTTTGTTTGTTTGTTTGATTTGGTTTGTGTGTGATGTTGGAGGCTTTGTCGATAAACCACAGTGGTGGTTTCTGACAAGAAAGCAGAAAAAAAAAAAAAAAAAAAAGGAAACGCCGAGGACATTTGTTCACTCTCCAAGAGCTCCGAAATGCTTTGGAAGAAGAATGGGCTTGCTATTCCACAACAGGATATCCAAAACCTGATTAGAGGAATGAATCGACTTTTAGTAGCTGTTATAAGAGCAAGAGGAGGTAACACGAGGTACTAACTTTTAAAACCCCTACTTCCATGCTTCAATTAAAAATAGACTTGATCAAAAAGTGTAAGGTTTATTTCAAAAATTTAGACTTGATCAAAAAGTGTAATGTTTATTTCAAAAATTCATATCTCCCAAACCAATAAAGATACCAAGACCGATAAAACAGCAAAATGTTGAAAATGGATCAAACTCTCCAGAAAAGCATATCCAGTGTAGCTTACTCCGCAAAATTACTCTACAGAGTGTTACAAAGTAAAGAGAAAAAATATACTTTTTTATTTTCCTGGTATATTGCAACAAGTAAACTGTATTTTTGAAAATTGAATAAAATTAATTTAAACCAAAACAATTATCTACATTATGAAAAAAAAAAAGATTGAAATCGGACTTTGGAAGAAAAAGTTATCCTACATCAAATTTGATCTAAATTTTGGTTGTCCCGAATTTTGTGTCGGTGAGTGTATTTTGCGTACCTGTAAAATCTAATGACATTTTTTAAAATTCGGCATTGTCAAATTTATTTCATATTTGAGATGCCCCCCAATAATTTTACAAGAGAAAATAATAAAATGTAATGGCTATTTCAAGGAAAACAAACCAGAGGTTCTTCAGGGAATAATAATTGAAGTCCAACTACCAGTACCAGATATATTTGAGGTAGGTATAGTTTAAATGTAGATGTAAAGCCATTTCTTACAATCAGCAACCAATATCTTTGTTGGAACAAACTTGACCAAGCCCAAAAAAAAGGTTACTGCGAAAACATATTTATGCTGTTAAGCTTACTGTTATGGTACGTTCGATTTATTTTATTTCAAATAAATTGAATAGTCTTACTATTTACGTACCCAATTTTTTTAAAATTAATTTGGAAAAATCGAGGGAAAAATATTTTGGAATTGAATCTACCAAGATATTTTACACATCTGGCAACTCAGCTTTCTGTTTCATAACCCTGAAATTTAAAAAATATTTTGTCATCAAATGTCATTAGTATACGAGGGTCAATCTGTAAAATTTCCAAGGATGATGCTACACCAATAATATTTGAAAGGCATATATGCACATTTTCATCGATGTAATGCTGTCCTTGTTATTTGACAGAAGCAAAACAATGGTCGCGTTCACCAGTACTCAACATGTTGACTGATTAGTAAACGGCTTCGTTCCAACAAGTGGAATACACAAGGTAGAACAGTTTTGATTGGTCTAGAGCTGATTTTCATCTAATTTCAACAAAGCCGTTAACTAATCACTCAACATGTTGAGTGCTGGTGAACGTGACCAATAATAGGTTACTCATCAAGTGAACTTGTTACTAGTAAATTCTGTTTTTTTTTAAAGATAATTCCCCAAATCAAAAATTTAGTAACTATGTTGGCAACACAAGCCTTTTCAACATAAAAAATTTGAAACCTTCACAATTTTACATTGTATTGCCAACATAATGTCATTTTGACTTTTATCTTTAAAAAAAAAACAAACATTACAATAAATCAAAGAATGAACCTAAATGTTTATCCTCATGTTAGTCTCCATATGGCCAAGCCAAATCTTTCTTAAAATCAATGAGCAACTTTTTAAAATCATCAATGACATAGGTATGCACATTTTCATCGATGTAATGCTGTCCTTGTTATTTGACAGCAGCAAAACAAGGACAGGTTTCTCATCAAGAGAAATGCGCATAAGCAAATGGTGAATTTAATAACACACCTTTATCTCTCCATTTCCAGCATAGGTATTTCACACTAGTGAAATTTGATTTTAAATTAATGAAAACTAAATTCACATCAGTGAAATCGAATTTCGCTCATTTGAAAATTAATTTCAAAGTACCTAATGAAAACAAATTTTTCACAAATGAAATCTAATTTCACATTTATGAAAATGAAATTCCATCCTCGTTTCCATCTAACCTTCAATAATACTCATTTTTCAAATTCAAATTCAAATTCAAAAAAGCTTTATTGTTGAAATTTCCCAATAAAAATTATTGACAAAGCAACTTAAACCCCAACTTAAACACTAGGTATATCTGGAAAATCTGGACAAACAAGTTTCATACTAAATGACTACTTAAAACGTGATCTAATTCCAATTGTTAAAGAAAAGTAAAAAACAACAGAAACTTGTAAAACTAGCCAACAAATATTGACACAAAAAAAAAATACAAATGGAAGGTAAAATTCAACATACATAAAATTGCAAATAAAGTGAACAAGGAAATACAAATGAAATCTAAAGGAAAGACCACAATCAAGCGAGCAATCAAGAGCAAGATATCACTTTAGGAGCTAAGTCTGGCAGAGCAGGCATTATTGCAGGACATAGTAGTAAAATAGATAGGTAAGTTAAACTAAAAAACAAAAGATACAGTCTAAGAGAGTGCTTCAGCATAGTATTCATCATATATTGTAACAGGGATATTTTTCAAAGCAGGTCATTACTGCTTTTCTAAATTTTTTTATTTCTCCTATTGACCTAAATTCGAGTGGGAGGTGGTTGTATAACTTGACGCTCTCATAAATTACTGATTCCTTGGTCAAAGTTAGTGTTGTAATAAGCGAACTTTACCGAGCGAACGTTCGCATTATTACCGTAATTAACGGTAATGTTTGCTCCTCTCTAAGCGGAAGTTCGCTGAAAATGCATTTCTAAACGTTACCTAATCGTTTAATTTGACTATTCATGGTCATGGACCCTAATTTCTGAATATTATTAATATTATTTTTTCATTTTATTACTATGAACTTGTCTTATTACCATTACCTACAGAAAGTTCGTTTTTTAAGTTCGTTTTTTTCTAGTTCCTATTTTTATTTTTAAATTAATTTTTTCATATTATTTTTTGTGTTGACTCAACACTTTATGTAGTTATGTTATGTAGGTATTTGCATTTAAAGATTTTTGAGTTTTATTTATTGGTGCTACCACTGCTACCTACATCTATCTACGTTGTTTTTTAGTTTGTTTTTTATTACACCAACTTACAAGAAACAAGACTTGTATAAGTTTTATAAATATTATCATTTGCTTCACAATAAATTAATAATACATAGACAAGGGTTATATCTACATTTATGGAAAATTCACCTACCCTACCTACCCCTACCAGAGAAAAGAAAAATAGGGAAATTTAGTGAAAATTTATTATTAATAGACATTTTTACAAGCCCAACATTAAAAAGTGGAATTTATATTATAGGTGCTTTTGCAAAGTTCTCATAAATTCTCAAATATTCCTGAAAGTTCGGTACTTAACATTCAAAAATTACCAAGAATTTTACAACACTAGTCAAAGTTAGTCTAGGTATAGGAACGGGTATAACTTGGTTTGCGGTTCGCCTAGTGGATCGTCCAGGGGCATAAGTAGCAGCATTTGGATTTATTTGCCCTTTATGAATTAGGCAAACAGACTCTAGTATAAAGATTGCAGTCAAAGTAGTATGTTTAAGTACTCCAAGTACCTATATAAAAATACGGTCCTAAGTACTTATTTAGATGTACTTAAAGATTATGAGTAAGTAGGTACCTACTTAGGTAACTACCGAGGTACCATCGTCACCAAAAGTAACTGGGACAGCATCACATTAGCTCTTTTCCTATTACATGAATTTTGTTGTCAAACTATGAATTAAATGCATTGAAATGAATGACAGTAGAATTAGTCCAGGAGATTATTATGCATTATTTGTGTCTCAGATACTTTTGGTGACGATGGTGCCTACATATAAATACCTACTCTAAGTACCTACTTAAATGCATATAAAATGTACCTCGAAATGTACCTACCTACTGTAAATGGTAAATACTGAAAATAATATGTACTGGTATACTGTTTTTTGTAATTTGAGTAAAATACTTATTACCTCGCTTATTACCTACTCAGTACATTTGAAAAATATTGCCTACTTAATACTGTTAGTACAATATTCAAAATACCAAATACTTAAAGTAAATTCGCTGAGTACTTTACTTAGTGCAGCTCTAGATTGAGAGGCTTTTCTTAGATATAAAGATAATCAGCATAGGTCAAAAAGGTCAAACTCAAATCAGCTTACCTGGCTCTTTGGGTGATGCAGGTGAGCCCATTTTTGCTTTGAAGCAGTGCCACAGATTGTTTTAAGGACATTTTACTAGGAAAATTTAGGAAAAAAATTAAAATTACAAGTAAATCAGGTGGCCGGAAAATTCAGTGCTGTGTCGTCGTTTCGTACTGACTGAGCGACAGTCGACTGTGATTTGATAAAACAAGCTTTTTATTTTTAGATTTTTTTCTATTGACGCAAGTAACTCAACTTGCAAAAACCTTCTTATTGCTAATTTAAAATATTTGTTTTTTGCTTAAAAATTGTACTAGGTTAAGATTTTAGAATTTTAGGACCGAAAAACAAAAAGGGTTGGGTTGTGACAGAGGTCAAAGTCATACCCTTTAAAAAGATCCCAGTTTACGTTTACCTACGCACGTGATTTGTCGATAAGCAAAGACGGGTTCGATAACGTAACGTGTGCTGTATAAAATTTACACAGTTGTCGTTCAGAACGAAGAAACACAAGCTCCGGCGTCATTCGGAGTGACTCTCAAAAATACAAGTGCTCCATTCATATTTGAAATTTGCAAGACCCAACCAGCGAGGAAGAGCTTCACGAGAAACAAATGGGCGAGAAGCTATTACAGCTGAATGCACCTACTAAAAAGAACGCGCTTCCAAAAAAGTCACTCGGAGTCACTCGCAGATTTTAAAAAACCGGGCTCCGAAATGTACTGACTACTGAACAGTGGACACCGTCGACACCACGATTCTTGGTCGACACCGTACACTTTGGAACACTCTATATAGTCCCGAGTAAAATTAAATTTTAGAGCTAAACGGAATGTTATCGAAAGCGCCTAGCAGCTGTTATTTGTTTTGAGTTCGATTCCCCGTAGAGGTGGAGAACTATCGATAGTCCCGACCATCGATATTTATCGATAGTCGGGACCTTGACTATCGATAAATATCGATAGTTTTCGATAGTAATTAGTTACAAGTTATAAGGAAATATTGAAGATATCTGTACGTCATATGAATGTAAATTACATTAGTTAGCAAAGGATAGATAGATAGACAAAAACCTTATTTTCTTTTTGACGTACTATAAAAATATGATTCTAGGAAATAGTTTAATGATCTTTAAACATCAACATCTATCATTTGCGGAGAACATACTTTTTTCCGAAAATGAAAATATCCTTTCTGAAAGCCTAGCTAGAATTTTTGTATAAAAATCATTATTATTATCGATTATTTCAACGTTCTTCAAGAACTTTTGTCAGAAATAATGGCACCACGCACCACAGTGAATGTCTTTTTAGATTGCTTTTTATAAAAAATTTCCATTTTTAAAATCAGCTTTTCTACATTAAAATCGACAAAAAAAACAACTCAAAAGCACAGCCTGAATTGCAAGCATCCTATCGAGGCCTGCGGGTGACGTCACCGCTATAAGGTACTGATAATTGTGACGTCACTCGCAGGCCTTGCCCACTCAAGAAATGGCAAACTTACGTCTTATGAGGATGAGCAATCGTAAGTAGTTTAGGATTCTTGTTTTTGCAGTTCAGTTTTGTGCATCTAACCTAACTTTCGCTTATTAATGGGCGTTGCGTTACAGCCAACTATTGAAAACTATCGATGGTCGAAAAAAAATATCGATATATTTCGATAGTCAATACTATCGATAGTTATCGATAGTGCCATCGATAGTTCTCCACCACTAATTCCCCGGCTGGAGCTGAGCTAGGGGTGACAAACTATCGAAAAAAAAACTATCGATAGTGATATCGATAGAATGGCCTACCCATCGATAGTAACTATCGATTGTACTATCGATAGTTTGCTCTGACCAAAGTAACCAAATTTGTAATTAATTACGATAAACATTAACCTCCAACCTCCATCAAGTCCATCAAAGTCACTCGTCAATCCTCCTAACCGAAAAATTGGCAGCACAGCATGTCTATCCCCAAAAATAATTACAGATTTCTCAAAAAAACTACAGATTTCTTTATAATTCCCTCAATATACAGATGTTTTCATTTACCTTTGACTACATTGGAACTATCGATATTGGTACAGGTCTATCGATACTATCGAAAATTAAAAAACTATCGATAGTATCGATATTCCTATCGATAGTTTGTTATCCCTAAGCGGAGCGCAAACTGCCGCAAACCGTTGCTATTCTTTGGCTTGGATTTTAATTTTCTTGTTCCAACCAAAACTTCTCTGTGAAAATGGGATTCGTTTGTTGCGTTCCTGGGTGCAAGAACAAAAGCAACAGCGGCGACAACGGGAACGGAATTCAGTTGCATCGTTTTCCAAATAACCAGCAGGTTAAAATTTATTTATTATTGTGTATTCTAACCTTAAATGCTTCGTTTTATGCTTGTTTAATGTTTTTTCCTACGAGCGTGCGGAAAAGTTACTTTTCCGCACGATTTTTCGTTTTGAAAGTTGTACTTTTCCGCACGATTTTACTTTTCCGCACTATTTTTTTACTTTTCCGCACGATTTTTACTTTCACTGAAAAGTGTACCCATATTAAAGTTCGGGGGCCCCCTATTTGGGGGCACAGTCCCGCGGGGGCCCCATTTTTGAGGGGCACAGTCCCGCAGTGGCCCCTTTTTTGGGTGCGGAGCCCAGGAGGCCCCTTTTTGGGGGGCGAAGCCTCTTATTTGGGGGGCGGAGCCCCTTATTTGGGGGCACAGCCCCGCAGGGCCCCCTATTTTAGGTGGCATAGCCCCGCGAAGGTAGGGAATCCTAACAATTTTTTTGGCCAATTTAGATATAGGCCAAGGATCATAATATAAAATCCGGTTCCATTATTTTTTTTGTATATAAAAAAATCGTGCAGAAAAGTAAAATCGTGCGGAAATAGTATATATATAATAGATCTTTATTGAACGAATACACTTCAAAAGGCCATTGACCGAGGTCCTTCAGCCTATGAGTTAACAAAAATCATGGATATAAAATATCTTTGTTCACAATATTAAGTATTTGTTACAAAAAAAAAATATATATAATATATGAAAAACAATACAATAATACTTATAGCAAATATGTTTAGTTAGTTTTTGGATAGTTTTTCCCATATTGTTCTCTCAGGGTGTTGGTATCTTGCTCTTTCTGGTAGTCTTCTGATGCAGTATGGTTCAATTTTGGCTATATTGTCTGGCTTCTGCTTGAATATTTGATTTAGTTGACTAATGCGTTGCTGAATTGGAAGTACGTGTGTTGTCAGATACAGAAGTTGGTTAGGCGGGTTGTGCAGTGGATTGTTGGGATGTCTTAGTTTTGTGACAGCTCGAAGAGAAGATGTTTCTGCAACTTGTAATTTCTTCCATGCCGATGTTTTGAGGTTTTGGAAGATTACATGTCCGTATTCAATAAGTGGGCGACAAATCATTTTGTAGATTCTTCATTTTGTATGCAATTTTATTCCGTCATTCTTCCATGATAAGCATTTAAAGTGCCTGGCTCTGGCTATAGTCTTTCTCTTGGTTTCTTGTGTATGTTTATTGAAATTAATTTTGTTGTCTAAACGGATTCCTAAATATTTAATGGATTGCTGTGGATGTAATTGGTGGTTGAATAATTGTATATATGGTGAGTTGTAGTTGGGAGTGTGGTTAAAAAGAATAAAATGAGATTTCATCGGGTTGGGTTGCAGTCGCCACTTGCAAAACCATTGCATCGTTGAGTTGCATAGATCTTGTAACTTGCTTGTGGTTGTTCTAATAGAGTTGCCATGAGCAATAAGTGCAGTGTCATCTGCATATTGTAATATGTAGTTGTCCATGTTAAAATGTTGTGTGTTTTGATCATATATGTCTGCACAGTAAATATTGTATAGCAATGGTGAAAGAGGTGAGCCTTGTGGGAGTCCTTGTTCTGGAATAAATTCATAAGATGTTTTATCTGCGATTTTAACTTTCCATTTCCTGTCCTTCAACAGACAGGCCACGGACATGAGTAGAAACAGGGGGCAGTTACATTGGTTGAGTTTGAACAATAAACCCCTGAGCCATACGCTATCAAAGGCCTTGTGGATGTCTAGGAAAATGGCGGCTGTTTTTCTTCCATTTAATCTTGTCGTTTCAATATTATTGGTTAATATAGTTAGGGGGTGTATTGTAGAACATTTGTTTCTGAAGCCGAATTGATATGGGGGAATCCTGTTTCCAATCTCTTGTTCAAGCTTGTTTTTGATTATTTTTTCAATATTTTTTCCTAATACAGGCAGTAATGTTATTGGCCGATAATTGGCTGTTCTTGAGTGGTCTAGATTTGGCTTTGGTATAGTTATTATTGTTCCTGTCTTCCATTCTGTCGGAATAAAAGCGTATTGCAAACAAAAGGAGTACATTTTCATGATATAGCTGTGGATGTTGCTGTTCAATTTTCTTAATAGTTTTCTTGTGATCATATCATGTCCGGGTGTTGTATTTTTTCCTTGGTGAAGTACATTATAATACTCGTCTTCTTCTATTGTATATTCCTGAGCGTTGTTTGATTTAAAATTAATGTTGATGTTATTATCATACCAGTTATTGATGTAATTATAATGGTTTTGATCAAAGTTGGGATGCTGACTTTCTGTATACGTTTTTTCCATGTGTTGTGTGAATATAAGTGCTTTTTCTTCCGGGGAGTCGTAGGGGATTCCGTTTTCCATAATAGTTCTATTATTTAGCTGCGTATTCTTATACTTTGCTAATTTTTTGGAAATAGTATATTGTGTATTTAGGTGGAAAAGTGACACATTCTCGGCCGACGGTGTAAGTTGACGGGCGAGGCGTAGCCGAGGCCGGCAAACACTGAAGGCCGAGAATGTGCTTTTCCACCAAAATACACATACTATTTTTTCTGCGATCGGTTAAATATCTGTTAAATGTTTGTCTTTTTGTTCCAATTGTTCAGTAGTACGAGAATCACTTTCCCGGCCTAGGCCGGAAAAGTGATTCCCGTATTGTTAAATTCAAATTCAAACTCAAAAAAGCTTTATTGTCGGTAAATTATGAAAATTCATTGACAAAGCAATCTTATAATATAGTAACTAAATATAAACAATATGTCTGCTACATAGTTAATTTTAAAAGACCTAAATTAAACACACAAAACATTTTTATATGTCACGATTAAATATGTAAAGAGACGAAAATACTTAATACACAAAAGAAGAAACAAACAGTTACAAAGTACTTACATAAAAAAGTATATCTACTAATAAACCAGTTATTATCAATAGAAGAACATCCGCAACATCGGTAACCCCCTAGGTAATGATGATTTCAATATAAAAACAAATAAATCACTAAAAGATATATTAGGGCTTAGTAACTATTGCAATAGAATAGAAAAAATAAAAAGTTTAAAAAGTTAAAAAGGTTAAAAAGGTCAAAGCTGAAAGCAGCAGAGTAATATAATACTAAAAAACTAAAAAAATGTCTCAAAAAATAAACAAAACAGAACAAAATCAATAAATAAAACAACCAAAAACAATTAGGTTTTTGAAAAGTACCTACCCACAATTAAAAACACGCGGTAAATAGCCACACTAAATTTGACCGTAATATTCTTGAAGGCTGTAAAATGTTTTTGTTATCAGGAAATTTTTCACACTAGTACGAAATGCCCTGTACTCTCTAATATTCCTTGATTCCTGAGGAAGATTATTGAATATTTTTATACCTTCATATATAATTGAGTGCTTGGTCAGGCTTAGCTTTGGGATTGGCAATGGCAAATTGTAGTTTCTCAAGTTGTAAAGTTCTGGTTTAGAATATTCTTGAAATTTTTTGAATATTAAACTGGCCTCTTCCAAGATGAAAATACAGGGAACAGTCAGTATCTGCTCCTGCTTGAAAAGAGGCCTACAGCTTTCCCGACGATTTATCCTACACAAATAACGCAGAGCTCGTTTCTGACAGATAAACACTGATTCAACAGCTGCCTGTGTCGAAAAACCCCAGAATGCTATGCCATATCTGATGTGAGACTCTATAAGTGCATGATACGCTATTTTGGCTGTGTGCTTTCCCAGTTCATGAAGAATGCTTTTCACTATATAACAGCCCTGTGAGAGTTTTTTATTAAGGGTATCAATATGAGTGTCAAATTTGAGTTTCGAATCTATGTGCATACCAAGAAATTTTACAACAGTTCTATCTTCTACCAGCTTCTGGTCAAGTGTGATTTCATTAAGAGTGCATTTGAATGTTAGTATATTTGTTTTAGATATGTTGAAAACCAAGCGATTTACGTCACACCACCCCTTGATTTTTTCCAAGTCTTTTTCAATAATCGTGTTAAGAATTGTCACGTCTTTGTGTTGCCAAAGTATGGTTGTATCGTCTGCAAAAATTACAAAAGCTCCCAGAATTGACAGTGCTGCCAGGTTGTTAATGTAAATTAAAAAGAGAACCGGCCCAAGAACTGACCCTTGAGAAACCCCCTGGGTTAAATTTAGCGTCTTTGAATTATCCTTACCATGAATTCTTATTAGCTGGGATCTATCCGAAAGGTATGCTCTAAACCAGCTCAACTCCGTTCCCCTGACTCCGTAGTGGCTCATTTTCCGCAGCAGTATTTCGTGATTAACACAGTCAAAAGCTTTTGAAAAGTCACAAAACACTGCCGCAGCTTTCTCACCATCATTGAGAGCAAAAAAGAGTCTCTCCAGAAACGTAAATATGGCATCATTGCACCCCTTTGATTCCTGAAATCCGAACTGATCCGGTGTCAGAACATTATGGGCCTTTAAGTAACTCACCAGTCTCACTTTTACTATCTTTTCTATAATTTTCGATAGCGTAGTCAGTAAAGATATTGGACGGTACGCAGACGGATCTTCATTGTCTCCCCCTTTAAAAATAGGAATAACTACTGCCAGTTTAAGACTGTCCGGAAAGATTCCCGAGACAAACGATTCATTTATACAGTCAGCGAGTGCAGTGAGTGCTTCATCAGGTAGATGTTTGAAGATTTTCAAAGTTATTTCATCTTCTCCTGAGGAGTTTTGTTTTTTAATGGTTTTTATAACCTTTTTAATTTCATCCCTGAGTGTCGGGTTAAGCCTGAATGTCTCAGTAGAAGGGTACTCTGATAAGTAACTTAGTGGATCCTTCTTTAGCTCAATGCCATCTGTCAGCTTGCTCACTATAGTGCAGTAAAACTGATTAAGATCTGTCGGATTTATTGTCAGATTGTTGCAATTCAGTTGTGTTTTTCCCCTCATTTCGCCTATTATTTCCCAATACTCCCTGCTAGAATAACCCGCTGCTTCTACCCTTTCATTGTAATAATATTTTTTGCTAGTCGTATTAGACTT